GTTCCATTGAATTGAAATGAGACGTAGCAGGAACGCCCTGATGTGATCCAATGTGTCGTTGTTCGCCCTATACAATGCATCTATCATTCTACAGGGCGAACACTGGTCGAATACGACGACAGGACTGAGTATTAAAAAGTGACAGCTTTACAAAATGACAAATGGACTGCCGTTTATGACGGATTACAACGTGCATAAAATCCTCGAGTCATTTAGCATCCATGTTCTAAGATCCAAAAAGTGAACCGGAAGGATGGCTGTTGATCACGCAGAAGCTGATCTCCTGTATGAGGCTAGTTTTTTGGCAGAACTCTAGATGCGATCTGTTCGAAAGCTTTTCTACTTTGCCACTCGTAGCTGACCTAGTGGATCGACTAACAACAAGATGCGGTAGTTCCAATTAAGGTAGGTAGGTAGTAAGGTACGGTAATTCTATCTCGGTGTTATTTACATGGCGGGTAAGGTGCGGTCTCAGTGGTCGAAGGGGGGTGGGACATTTCGTCAGACGAGTCATAAACTGACTTCCCTACACCCTTACAGGCTATGCACGTGGAGCACACGAGCGCACGGAAAACGTCGACCAGCCAAAAAAACGTGCAGTAGAAGAAGCAACAAGTCCTCAAAAGGTTGCAGTACTTCTGACTCACGTGCAAAAGGAAGTGGCTGAGCTAGCCGCCTTCGGCTATCACCACCGTTATGCCTGCAAGGGTAATGGGGCGGCCTCAAGAAAATATTTCCTTTTATAGTGACAGTTCGGCGACGGCGGAGGATGGGGGAGGGGCATTCTGCACTTTTGCTACTTCCCATCAACGTGTCGACCCCTCTAGATAGTCTTTTCGTGAGGTTACAAGAGTTCAACCACGATGGCTCGATGAGGTCGCTCCAGCTTCGCAAGAGTTCAGTTTCATCAGATTGAGACCTGTGAACCGGAACTAGTGAAGCATGCAAAATTCCCCCTCCCCCTCTCCTGTCGCCGAACTGTCCCTATACTTCTTTCCATTATCTAGCTGACTACGACATGACAACTTCACCATCTCTGGTTAGCTGGCTGGAGAGACGCCCGCTCAACGGGGAGATGGGCGTAGAGTCGTACTGAAGAAACCTTTCCTCAGAGATTTCATTTGATTTCTTTTTTCATTATGTGATGTGATTTAGTGACCCAAACCGGAATTTGAAAACACTCATACTCCTGATTCGTCCTGTAACCTTGGTCGCGTCCCGTTTTATTTCTTGACCTCCTATTAGGATTTAAATCGAGACCTACATCTTGATAGTGGGGGGTGTTTTCTAGGCGAGCGGATCTCGTTTAGTCTTATGAGATTTTTTGACTATTAATGTTTCCGGTTTCATGAGTGCTATATATTCTCCTAGTAGGGAAAGCAATATTTCAGTTTTTGACTCCTGGTACTACAAGAACAAAAAAAAATCTAAAAAACGGACTTTCTCACAGTTGTATTTTTTCGAACGCACCAACACATTCGCTGAAGAGACCACTGACATTATTCTACCTTCGGATTGGAAAGTTTTCTGCTCCCTTTCGTCAATAATCGAGGGAGATTCAACTCAAAGAAGTCATTCAGAGTTATTTCAAGGAGTTGACGTTGGAAATTATCGTAATTTTTGAACACTTACTTAAGGCGTGGTCTACGAACAAATTGAGCTTAATTCACTTAACTACGGCAATTTTGCTTTTCTCGGACTTCTCTTCTATGCGTGGTATTCTATGACCACAGCGACTTCATTTATTTTAACATTTCACGCATGCTACATGCTACGTGGCTCACCCGCCCCGCAGCTTCTTTACCTTGAAAAGGAACAAGAAGACAAAAGAGTTCGTTGCACTGGTGAGCGATGCGTGCGACGTCGCTCATGCATGACGTTTCCTGCTAGGTCGTGGATGGCGGCAATAGATAATGTATGATCCAAAAATAGCTTACAATCCATATCCCTGGGACTCGGTGGGCGTGGCTGCGACTTGATTCGAAGGGGTAGGATTGAGGTATTTTATGCGACATATCAAACTGGGATGACTGTCATCTTGTTTTTTATTGGTCAAAGACGTGGCTTCACAAGAAAA